CAAAAAACAGATCGTTTCGTTCGCGCCAGGGCTTCTGGTGCGGAGGGTTTCAGGCCCTGGAAACTCTGGGACACCCTAAACCCGAACCTTTTTAAGCATATAAACCCTAAGCTATTTAGAGTAGTATAAACCATTTTTAAAATATGTACACCCTAAGCTATTCCGATTAGTATAAACCGTCAAGCCTAAACTAAGTGGATGAGTATGAACCGTAAAACTTAATCCCACTCTGATAGCTGTGGCAGAGCTCCAGGCGCAGTCGATTCACACGAATGGCCGCCTCAATGCAAAGGCCAAGGCACAGCAACAAACAGGGTTTCTATAGGGTTTGGGGTTCAGGGACCGGACCATCCGAAATCTCCAAATGTCTCACAGCCAGGACCCAGATGACTCGTTAGTGTATGCTGAGACAGAGAAGTGCCAGAAAGCATTGCATAACGGCATAGATTCAGGAGAAGTGGGAGGTTGCGGCTGACATGCCGCTGACATGCCGCCATCGTACGGAGCATGCATATGCGCACATGGACGACTAGACACGTCATTCTCCTCACCAACACCACCATCTCCATCATGCAACCATCAAGATCACGAACCCTTCCTGGCAATACTTGAGGGCTCGACAGGGAGCCCAGTTCTCAACGTCTCCATGAGTTGGACAAAATCCTCCTGGTGCGCCCCGCATATGCATATGCAGCGGTCCAAGACCAAGAGGGTTAACAGGCAGGCTGGGGGCTGGGGGCAGGGTCTAATTCTGTCAGGACTGTGGGCGTAGGGATTGGCTCTTGAGCTCAAGTTTTGGAGGTTGTGGTGATGATGGTGATTGCGATAATTATAGTGGTGGCACTTTTGTTGAAAGATATTCTAATCCTGACTGTGACGAAGATGACCCGATAACGGTGTCCGTTCCAAGCCAACCGATGTGTCACATGGCTTTTTATGACTCTTATGATCTCACTTCAACCCTAAACTCCTAAACCCTCAACCAATAACTCATAAGTGTACCAAGCTGTCTTGGGATTGTTTCAGCCGAGAGATCGCAGCTCCTCCGAACAGATCTCCTGCCGCCGGTAGTATGCCTGCCAACACTTGTGTAATACAGGGGGCCTTAACAACTAGAATAGGGTTTTGGTGCATATTCTACTATGTTACTATACCTAGAATACAGAACCCCCAAAATAGAAAAGGTAACTATTTGGGCCCCAAAACTAGTTCTCTAGGTTAAAGTCCCATTTAGATCCCCAACCTCAGTACGGCACCCTTGAAATAAAAGGACCCTCAAAGTGACCCTAATATAGAGAACTACCCACTTGCTTTCCCGGAGGTTAGTTAGTGCCTTGATATGTCATGATTGGGTGGGCTGTTCTATGTCTGGAACATCTCGTTGTAGTCTTGTTCGCAGCAGGAAAAGACCACCCTTAAACCTCGATTCTGCATAACCCCACCCAGGGCGTCGGCGAAATTATCCTTGCGGCTTCCTTCTTTCTATGCCGCCTGGTTCCAACACTTGTGCTTGTAGGGTTATAGACAGTCAGCAAAGAGATGAGGTACAGATGCCCAACATGACTTTGCATACCTCGAAGCACGGCCAGACAAAACCATGCGCCCGGTTTCTGACAAACCCGAACTATGCTGTAGCTCTTTCAGGCAAAGCTCACGCAGAGTCAACTTCAAACCTTCGACTCGCCACCCAAACTCAACCCCCCAAGCCCCAAACCCGCAAGCCCAAACCCGAACCCAGGCCTGAAACTCCCAAAGTGACAAAAAAAGCCGAAGCTTGAAACCGCAAACCCACTATCAACCCCGAGAGTGCCCCGAAAGACGAAGCCCTTTCAATGAAAGCCTCGAACTTCTCGTTCTTGTACTCCCAGGGCTCGGTGTCCCGCCAGGCCTGACGACTGTGCTCTGGAGGGCGTTCAAACCGTTGGCTTACTGGTGGATTGAGAGTTGAGCCGGTTTAGCATTGAGGGGTTTAGGGTATAGGGTTTGAAGGGTGTCGTGGGGCGTCAATAATGGGCCAGATATTGTCTTGCTTCGTCGTTTCCTATATCTTGGAAGGCTTGAGGTTTGGGATTAAGGCAGAAACTGACAGACTCAAGGCCCGGGCGTCCTCACTCTTCCGGGCTTTCTTGGCCTGACCGCGCTTAAATTGGGAGCGCAGCACTGCTCGCGCAAGTTCGAAGAAAAAGTCCCTAAACCCTAAGCCCTAGAAGCCTGGACCCCAAAACCCCTAAACCCTAAATCCCTCGGACTTGCCTCCACCTCCGCCTCGTCCTCGCTCTCCTGGTGACTTCCAGTCTTCTTTGTTTAGGTAGGGGCTGTATGTCGGATTACTGTAAGGGCCCCCACAGGATTTCCTAAAGGGAGGGCTTAGAATAGTTGGGGCTAAGTGCATGCAGGCTCCTCCTCTGCATCATCTTTGTTCTTGCCACCCTTGCCTTTGCCCTTGCCACCTTTGCCTTTGCCAGACCTGCCGTAGGAGGCACGTATGCAGCTCGTAACGCTTCACAGCTCACAAGCCAGAAGCAAGCTCAAAACTGAGATGGCAAGGTCAGCGTCCGTAATTGCTCTCTTCTTGGATGTGCTTAACGATTTTGAGGAAACCACATCACTCGCACTGTACTCTCTATAGATCTCTGACTGTTATGGCTAACTATTATTTTAACTGATTTTAAGTTCCCTCACAAGAAGCCAGTCTGGGCCTTCCTCGCTTCCGCTTGCCACCCATGCTGCACGCGGAACTCTGCTTCTTGAATGTCGGATCTGCTGCTTGCACAACGATAATGCTGCGCGGTGAAGAGCGTACAAACGTACCACTAGCAAGGCTCATCATCAACGGCCCAGCAAGCGGTGCAACAGTAATCAACAAGTAGAAACTCAGCACGTAGGCACTTAGGGGCGAAGCGTGTGTTGTTCGCTGTTCGCTGCATCTGGCTCACTGCACGGGCCGAGAAATTCATGCAAACGAGGGCTTCGCAGAACGCAACGAGCCTGCTGAGGGGGCTGCTGTAGACTGGGATTCCACAGGACAGTCCTTTCAAACAACATGCCTGACGGGAATCTATCTCCAGCGGAGCTGCATCCTCGTCACCCCGATACCTGTAGGGGCACTAAACATATTGCGGGAGTTCCCCAATATGTTCAGGCTAGGGGAAACCCCTGAACCCTAAACCCTGAAGGTTAGGGGCAAAAGATCTTTCTCCAATATGCTTAGTCATCCGAAGAAGCCCAAGTTTCAGTTCCTTAAAACGACTGGAAATCCAAACCTGGGCTTCTCAGCCCTGATTCCAGACTGCGCCTTTCTGCTAGCAATATCCTACCATGTCATACCATGTCATAGCATAGCATAGCATAGCATATCCCATCACATCATATCATGCCATATCATATCATATCATTGCATACAAGATCATATAGCGTAATGTGGTATCATAGAAAAGGACATATAGATCCGAGGACCTCATTTTCAGACCAACGCCGATCGATCACATCTCCCAGGTGTCCGTGCCAGAAGTCGTCCGAAAGCTGCACCGGACCTGAACGCTTGCGACCACAAAATAGGATGGTACGACAGTCAGAGGAGCAACACACTACGAATGAGAATCGCCATATGCGCCAGCATGGCAGCCAGTATCATCAGCATCAGCAGGCTGGCAGTGGCCAGAAACTTCAAACTACTAGTCAGAACAACACTATCACTATTATCGACTAAGCAATCTGCATGACATTCATAACAGGCCCGGACCCCGCACCCGAAACCTTAAATGAAACCCCAAATCCTAAGCCCCAAATTTTCAGGACCTCTCTCCGGAGAGCTACTTGTAGACCATGGACCCCAGAACCTAAACCCCCAATCCTAACTCAATCAATCAACCCTTTATCGAAACTTCCCCAGGCCACCTAAAAACCCTAAACTTCCTAAACCTTAAGCCTCTAGACTCTAAACGATCGAAAAAGCCTCTACCCAGGACCCCGGCGCCCGAATTCCAACGTTGCTGGCGCCGTTGGCGGCTCGCGGCTGGGCACTTCCCCGTCTACGCGAAGCAGCACCCAACCGGGCCGCACTCCGGCCTGACATCATGAACATGTACAGTATGCATATTGCTATTTACATCTTATACTGTATATTGCATGATTTGTTTCACACACATCGCTTACTTTGTATTGTATGTTATGTACATACGAATGTGTATATATGTATATATGCATGTATGCACATCTAGAATACATATAGAGAGAGAGAGACATGCAGTGACACACTGTGTCTGGCAACCTTGCTTCCGATGGCCTTCCCTCTTGCTTGGTTTAACCGCAATTCCTTCAAAGGAAACGAGCGGAGTTTCAGAAATTCAATACACCCGTGCGCTATTTTGGACATGAAGCATATAAGCTACATATCCCTGCACTCCAAATCCCAAACCCTAGTCTACTAGTTACAGTCATGGGAAGCCAAGGCCCTTCCAAAAGGAACCTGAAAGCAACACATCAAGAAGTCTGAGGAAAAAAGCTGCAGCACTCTATACAAACCCCATTATAATAAAGCTCTATTGCCAAGATCTAGACTGCACGCTCCTTCCCAGCCTCCTGAGCAGGGTCCTTTTCCTTCACGGAGCGGACCACCAAGCCGCTCCGGTCCCGACACCAGGAGATGCCGATGATCTCCTTCTCACAAAGGTGCATTGGGGGTTCAGGGATTGGGGTCTCAGGGTTTTGAGGTGTTTTAGGATTTGGAGTTTTGGGGTTTTTGGGGTTCTGCTATTTAGGAGCTTGCAAGAGGGGGCCTGGGGGGTTTGGGGTTTGGAGGATTGGTCCTGGATTTCGGTGGTGAACTGTTGCTTCGGGCTGCAGAGGCTCAACAGAACACGCAAATCGGCCGATTGCATATCCACTGTATATGTTGAAGAGCTTCGACGAGCTCGCAGAAAGGTCGCGTACAGCTTGTCGTCTCTTGTCACTCTTGTGCCTTGCTTTAAGAACCGTCGCTGGAAACATCTCAAACTGCCCTAGATTCTAGTGACCATGACCGCCAGTATTGACTCAAGCAGGCGTGGCGCAGCCTCCTTGCCATAGACCACGCATCTCTTTCGGCGGGGCCAGGGCACTGTAGCCAGGGCGGAATCCAAGAGAGTCCTCGCGAGTAACTTCTTCAGGTTTGGCCGTTTCACTGGGGCCAATCAATGGGATCTGTGCCAGCCTTGCCAGGGCCAGCAATTTTTTGTTTCAACCACTTTGGAGGGAAGTCTAGCATTGAAGACCTTCCCCTCAACGGTCAAAGCAATGAAACCATGGGCTCCGCAATCACCCAAGCGCCCAGTGCCGCTGTCCTGGTTTGCCCGTCTGGATCGACATGGTCCTCCAGCAGAGCTCATTGGCAACACGGAAGCTAGACAATAGCACTGCGTAGTGTGCAGCATCCGCGTCGTCACAGCAGAAACACCAAGCGTAGCAGCATAGCAGTGGGTTTTTCACTGCTTCAGCAGGGTCTCTGCCAGTGCATTACAGGAGGAAGAAAGTAGTTTGGCGCAATGCCGGTATGTGCTGGCGGAGCATAGAAGAAAGAAGAGTGACTACACGTCCAAGTTTCATGGACGAGAAACTCAACCACACTTCTACGAAGAAGCTTCTACGAAGAAGCATGAAAATGGAGGCAGTACCGGAGCCGCTCCATTCGGAAGCCGAGTGGCTGTGTTGCTGGTGGTGCTGATGAAGAGGGACTAGATGATGCCAATGATGCTGAACTCAGGCTCATGATGGCGGCGGTCAGCAAAAAAAAGGATTACTATCAAGATGTTTTTTTGGGGCTACATGAGATAGAAAAACCCGAAACTGGTTCTAGGGCATAGTCTAGTTTAGTTATCGCCCATCTGAAGGAAGAATACTACTAAACCCGAACCCCCAACCCCTTGGAGGAGCTCCTGGGGCAGCCGACCACCCGGGAGCTTCGCAGCTGCATCTGCCCGTGAGGCCAGCAGAACCGCAGCCAGGTCCTCTGCCCGGGGGATTTGGTCGTAAAGGGTTTAGGGTTTGATTGTTGTTGAACACCTTTTTTCCGCCCGTTAGAGTACTAGCCTTGCGAATCCGCAGTGGCGGAAGACAGTAAAGCTAAGCCCTCACTGCGATCACGACCATCTCCATCTTCCCGCTTGTCAAACCACTTAGGGTTCAGGGTTCAGGGTTTAGGGTTTAGGGTCCTAATTTGGTAATCCAAGCTCAAGGCATGCCCAACCCCCTTTTGCCCCCCGACCCTCCTGACACCCCATCGTCCACGGCTGGCAGTGTGTATTCAATGCTCAAGCCTATGTGCGAGACCCTTTAGTAATTCAATAACGTAAATCAAGCCCAAGGCATGCCCAGCCCCTCCCGACCTCTCCCGACCCCCCACGACAAGCAACGTGTTTTCAGTGCTCAAGCCTGTGCGTGAGGTCATTTTGTAATTTAGTAACTTAATTCAAGACCAAGGCATGCCCAACCCCCCTTGCCCCTCCGACGCTCCCGACCCTCGACCTCTCACCACGGTCAATCTCAGTTCAGCGACCCCTCCCGATACCTGCGCTGCCCATTCGTGGGCGCAGCCCCTAAGATATTTATGCGTAAAAACACGAAACCGCAGGCACCATTCGAAGGAGTCTCCTCGCGTTCGATGCTCAGGGCACAGTGAAGCGGCTGGATCCCTTCTGAGGAGGCAGCGGAGGGGCACGCCTTGTTAGGGGACTAGACTAAGATCGGTTACGGCATGGAGTGATGGGTTTTGGGGGTGTAGGGTTTAGAGTTTAGGGGCTTAGGGCATGGGGTTTAGTGCATTTTTTTTGAGTTCGGGGTCGATTGCTGAGCCTCAGGTCACAAAGACAGACTGGTTAGGGCTTAGGGTTGGAACGTAAGGGTGATTGGCCCAGATCGCGTGCTTGCGGTTTAAAGAGCCTCGAGTCTGGAAATCTGGTGCTTTTCGCGCTTAGAAACTCCAGGATTTGAGGCTTTTGAGTTGGATTCCGAGCCCTAAACCTCCAAGCCAGAAGCCCTGCACGAATTCCCGAGTTCGGTTTCGCCAGACCGAAGGCTTGGCATCGTAAGGATGTCATTCGGGATCTAGGGTTTGGCCTTGTAGGAATGGCGGAGGGGCTGCGACTTGGCACATTTTGGGGTTGACGGTCGAGGAAGACGATGGTGGAAATGAAAAAGGTGGTGATGATGATGATGATGATGATGATGCTGATGACGGCGACGACGACGATGAAGGGGTCTGGAAGCAAAAGGAGGATGAAGAGGGCGAGGATGAGGATCAGGATGGTGACACGATGGAACACGAGGATGATGGAATTGATGACGTTACTAGCGGATTACTATGCCAAAGATGATGACAGCAGTGTCAACTAAACCCTGCTAATCCGGGCAAAGGCCACCCTCAACTCCAAACCCTGAAAACCCTAACTGCTCACCCCCCCCCCTCAAACCAAAACACCATGCCTTGGCGTAGAGCAGCAGCTCGGTCACTTCTTGATGGCCGGCGTGCACCGCGTGGAACAGCGCAGTTCGCCCAGCGTGGTCCTGTGTATCGTTTGGTGTCTCTGGGTTTCGGAAGTTTAGCGTTTTGGTCTAAAACTGGGGGTTGGCCTGAACCCCAACCCTAAACCGGCTTGGAGCTCAGGGCTTTCAGAGAGGTTCAGAGTAGCTTCCGGGTTCGATGTGATGCGTGGCTTCGGGTTCCTGGGTCTACGGTTCAAGGCTGCGCTCCGAACTCGTAGGGCCTAGAGTCCAGAGTTTGGGTGGACGGAAGGAGCTGTCGAAAGAGCTGATATAAAGAAAAGATGAAGCAGGAATCCACGGGTGCTTGAAGATTTACAGGTTGGTGTCGAGCGGCTGGAGCTTTCCGGAGGGACATGATGGAACCAGTTTACATAGACCAAGACATCATCCAAAGAGCTGACATTCGGGCAAGAGCTGTCTGGACAAGTAGGGCTCGAAACCCTGCAAACCCCACACCTTCAAACCCCACCCATCCAAGATCCTGTCAAAGCCACACACGACAACCTCCGAGCCGGTTCTTGAAGAAACACTACACAAAAGCCGCTGTAACCTGTCCCCGCATATGTAAGATACTATTCCCTTGTCGTCCCGCTTTGTTCCTACTCCAAAAGAAACCGCAAAGCCCTGTTCTAAGACAGTCAGGCTCCTGAAGCCCAAACCCTTAACGAGGCACCGGTCCCGGGATTCCAGGTAGCCAGGGCGATGCTTTGAGAGAAGCTCGCGGCACCTTCCGCGGGGATTTCGGCTCCAGGGTCTTAGGGCGATACTTCAGCTTTGGGTTTTATGGTTAAGATTTGGGCTTAGGGTTTAAGATTCAGGATTAGGGTTTAGGCTTTAGGGCTTAGGGTTTAAGATTTAGGATTTGCCGAGATGTGTGCGATTGCAGGGTCCCAAAAATCAACTTACAGCCCTGGAGACCCGAAGCGGCAGCCCCCCGATCAAACTTTCCAAATCCAGAAGGCTCCATAAACCCCAAAACCATGAACCCTACGCCTGTAAACCCATGAACCCTAACCCTGAACCGATGTCCTTTTAGCTGCCCTGATGCCAGGGCGCAGGTCTGTCCAACCCATCTCGGCCGCGGTGAGCAGAAGCGTGGCGCCCAGGTCATCCTTCTGCAGAGAAGCGAGGATTCTACTGCGTTCCAGCAGCGAGCATGGAAAATTTCGGAGCACACTCAACTAATCCAACACCAAAGTTATACATTTTGTAGGTATCTATATACATCTATGTGAATATATATATATATATA